TGGGTGCCAGCCCTGGTAGAAAGACAAGGTTTGTGGTGCAAAACCACCTTAAGGATCCTCTGAATGTTGGGAAGTCTGCCCTAGGAGAGGTAGGTCTTGTTTAACTACCCACCCTGACATTCAGAGAATATGGCTGATAGCATGAGAAAGAGAATCTCCCCCATTTCAGACTCTCACTACAGTTTGCTTTCTCCCTGCCTTTCTATCTGCTCTGCCCATGGAATGGACAGTTCAAGTTCTTCTGGACGGAAGGCAGAAGCATTCCTAAGTGCTGGGCAAGCAACTCCTGAAAGGGGGCAGTGTTGGAGCCAAACTTTCAGCACTAGAGCAATCCATCCACCTACCTTGTGGGAAGTGAGAAGCAGCTTGTTAGTTCCAGGTCATGGGAATCTCATGGAGAAAGTTGAAAACATATTGCTAGAGGTTTGTAACCTTTGTTGAGATGATACTCCCCTCGACTGTCTTGTGAGAATAGCACCGGTGAATGGTAGGAGGACAGAGCTTCTAATTCCCAACAAAGGATGACATAGGAGTAAGAACCTTGACCTACAGATCTTGGCTCTCTACAGCAGCGCTGTTGGTTCTGTCATGCTGCTGACTGGCTGACCAATCTAACTATAATATCCCCACTCTACTCACCCACACCCAAGTCTGTTAAAGTGGCCCGGTGAGAAGTACTGCTGCTCAGGGCACCAGTGAAAGGGCACTAGAAATTCTGCTGCCCTGAGACAGGAATAAGCTGTGTTGGGGAATTGTTCCCTCAGCTCCACTCTCTATTTGGCACTGAATTGTAGTCTGGCCCTGATCTGCTCTGGTGAGTGACGTTAAGCACAGAGCTAGTATTGCAACTATACACCAAGTTGGACAATGGGAAAGATGCTGTATGCACCTGCACCTCTCGGTGTGGCCCTTCCCACAATCCTATTAATAAGGGTTTGCTGCAGTTTGGCTCCCCTCCTACATCACACGCTGGAGGACAGCATATGCTTCATAGGGATTGATGTCCAAACAGAATGACCTGAATATATACCTCACTCCGATTGGTTGAAGAAGATGCCAAAAGGGTATAACTGCCTCTCAAAGACACTCACATCAGGACTATAAAGCGTCTTTTGCCTACTAAGTTATGTCACCAATTCATACATTTAAAAAAAATGTAAAATACTTTAAGGATTTATTTCTATTTTTTAAAATGTAAATAGCAATAATCCATCAACCCCCTTCAAATGCGAGTGAAAAGGTCACAAATATCAAAGTTGATTGCTAACTCGGTAATAAAGGGGAAAAACCATCCCAGTGATCAGCAGTGTTTTGATAAATTGGCCATGTGGTTGACTAAGGAAAGAGGTGTCTAATCAGCAACGTTTTTTTTTTTTTAGTACATCAGATGTAGCAAGCCTGCCAAACCACCAATGGGGCCACTGGACGACTGAGATGCTAAAGAAACACTCAAGGAAGACCAGGCCGTTGTGGAGTAGCTAAATTAATTCTTTCCATCAAGTCTTCACAGCAGATGATATGAGGGAGATTTCCACACCTGAGCCATTCTTTTTAGATGACAAATTTAAGGTGTCAATAGAGGAGATTGTGGAACAAATTGATAAATTAAACAGAAATAAGTCACCAGGATCAGATGGCATTCAGCCAAGAATTGTGAAGGAACTCAAATATGAAATTGCAGAACTACTAACTATGATATGTAAGCTACTGCTTAAATCAGCCTGTGTACCAGATGACTGGTGTATAGCTAATGTAATGCTGATTTTTTAAAAAGGTCCCAGAAACAATCCTGGCAATTACAGGCTGGCAAGCCTAACTTCAATATCAGCCAACTGGTTGAAACTATAGAAAAGAAGAGAATTATAAGACATCTAGAAGAATATGATTTGTTGGGGAAGGGTAATCATGATTCATCAATTTATTACAATTCTCAGAGTGTCAACAACCATGTGGACAAGGGTGATTCCCTGGATATACCTTACTTGGACTTTCAGAAAGCCTTTGACTCCATGCTCTGGAAGTCCCTAAGCCTCTGACTGCCAGATGCTGGGAGTGGTCAACAGGGGATGGATCACTCAAAAATTTCCCTGTTCTGTTCACCCCCTCTGAAGCATCTGGCACTGGCCACTGTCAGAGACAGGATACTGGGCCAGACAGACCATTGGTCTGACCCAGTATGGCCGCTCTCATGTTCTTAAGGTCCCTCACCCAAAGGCTCTTAAGCAAAGTAAGTAGTCCCGGGTAAGAGGGAAGGTCCTCATGGAACAGTAACTGGTTAAAAGACAGGAAACAAAGGGTAGGAAAAAATGGTCAGTTTTCACAGTGGAAAAGTTAAAATAGCAGGGTCCCTCAAGGATCTGTTCTGGTATCAGTACTGTTCAACATATTAATAAAGGATCTGGAAAAATGGATAAAGAGTGAGGTGGCAAAGTTTGGAGATGATACAAAATTACTCAAGATAGCAAAGTCCAAATCAGACTCCAAAGAGTTACAAAGGGATCTCTCAAAACTGGATGACTGGGCAACAAAATGGAAGATGAAATTCCGTGTTGATAAATTCAAAGTAATGCATACTGGAAAACATAATCCCAACTATAAATACAGAATTATGGGGTCTAAATTATCTGTTACCACTAAAAAAAAAAAAAGATCTTGGACCATTGTTGAAAGTTCTCTGAAAACATTCTCTCAGTGAGCAGGGCCAGTCAAAAAAGCTAACAGAACGCAAGGAACCATCAGGAAAGGGATAGATAGATAGAAAATATCATAATGCCACTACATAAATACATGGTATGCCCACATCCTGAATACTGCGTACAGATGTGGGTGCCCTATCTCAAAAAAGATATATTGGAAAAGGTTCAGAAAAGGGCAACAAAAATGATTAGGGGTATGGAACAGCTTCCGTATGAGGAGAGATTAATAAGACTAGGACTTTTCAGCTTGGAAAAGAGATGACTAAGGGGGGATATGATAGAGGTCTATAAAATCATGACTGGTGTGGAGACAGTAAATAAGGAAGTGGTATTTACTCCTTCTCATAACACAAGAACTAGCAATTACCAAATGAAATTAATAGGCAAAACACACAAAAGGAAGTATTTCTTCACACAGCCCACAGTAAACCAGTGGAACTCTTTGCCAGAGGATGTTGTGAAGGCCAATTGCCTGTTAGGTTCACTCCCTCAGGGGCACCCGGCATTGGCCACTGTCAGCAGACAGGATACTGGGTTGGATGGTCCTTTGGTCTGACCCAGTATGGCCATTCTTATGTTCTTATGACTATAACAGGGTTCAAAAAAGAGCTAGATAAGTTCATGGAGGATAGGTCCATCAATGGCTATTAGCCAGGATGGGCAGGCATGGTGTCTCTAGCCTCTGTTTGCCGGAAGCTGGGAATGGGCGACAGGGGATGGATCACTTGATGATGACCTGTTCTGTTCATTCCCTCTGGGGCACCTGGCATTGCCCACTGTCGGAAGACAGGATACTGGGCTAGACGGACCTTTGGTTCCTATGTTCTTATGTAATACTGTGTGCAGTTCTGGTTGCCCCATCTCCAAAAAGATATATTAGAATTGGAAAAAAGTACACAGAAGAGCAAAAAAAAAATTATTAGGGGTATGGAACAACTTCCATATGAGGACAGATTAAAAAGACTGGGACTGGTTCATCTTAGAAAAGAGATTATGAAGGGGGGATACGATTGAGGTTTATAAAATCAGGAATGGTTACAAGAACACGTATAGGGAAGTTTTATTTATCCCTCCACATAACGCAAAAAACATGGGTCACCCAAATGAAGTCAATAGAGAGCAGGTTTAAAACAAACATAAGGAAGTACTTCTTCACACAACGTACAGTCCATCTGGGGCACTCGTTGCTGGAGATGTTATGAAGACTTAAACTATAGCTGGGTTCAAAAAAGAATTAGATAAATTCATGGAGGACAGGCCCATCCAGGGCTACTAGTGAAGATGGTCAGGGACACAATCCCATGCTAGGGAGGTGGTGGAATCTCCTTCCCTAGAAGTTTTTAAGGTCAGGCTTGACAAAGCCCTGGCTGGGATGATTTAGTCGGGGATCGGTCCTGCTTTGAGCAGGGGGTTGGACTAGATGACCTCCTGAGGTCCCTTCCAACCCATATGTTCTATGATTCTGTGCTCTGGGTGCTCCTAAATGTCCCACTGCCTGAAGGTGGGACTGGACGACAGGGGAAGGATCACTCAAAAATTGCCCTGTTCTATCCCTTTCCTCTGAAGCATCTGGCACTGTCCACTGTCAGAAGACAGGATATTGGGCTAGACAGATCCTTGGTCTGACCCAGTATGGCCATTCTTATGTTCTCTAAGAAATGAAGCGTCCATTCTCACCCACTGTTTCCTGCTTCCGGTTTGGAGGAGCATGGGACATTTTAAAAAGGAAGCTGCGCTCTCACTTTCTGCAGCACAGTGTATGGGAGGATTTTGCAAATGAAGATGTTCCTCTTCTGACCCTGCTTCCAACAGCTGACAAGAACATGGAGAGGGAAGAGACAAAAGTTGGACATGGGTGCTGTGAATCCCATTGGCAAATTGGAAGTGCTCTTTTCCAATGGCATAAATCTCCTGTTTCTAGCCCAGCAGGGATGCAACATATTGGACCCAATAACCTCGCACTGGGACAGGACTGAATATTTCTCATTGTTAGCCTTTGTGTACTTTAGAAGGGAAATAAGGAAATATTTCACTGGCTAAGCACTTTAAAATAAATTAAAAGGTGGCAGTTCAAAGGTGTTCAGAGGTTTGAGACCTCTTGTGGGAAATGGATTAGTAGACAGAGGGAAAGTTTAACAGTCATGGATGTCATTTGTCACTTGAATTTGTAATTTATTTCATAGCTATCATTTCCACATAGGTGGTATATATGTATGAACATATGCATTCACTCACACACACTAATGTATTTGACTGGAAGAGAACATATGTTCTTTTGTTTTGCTCAACTTGCTATTCTCTTACCTGAATTAGGAGAGATGTGTAAACTGCTCATGTCTTTGGACATGCCATTCGTTTTGGGACTGGAGATGGGTGCACAAGCTGACGTCGCTCGAGGTGGCCTCTTTCCTGGCACTTTCACAGTAGTTCTCAAAAGGTCGATTTCTTTTCCGTGAACATTCTGCATATAGTCCTGCAGAGAAACAAACCAATAAAAATCAAAAAGGTACAAGAAAACTAGAAGTTAGAATAGTATATTAAGAACTGGAGACTAAAAGTGGGAAAATACTTTCATAATTCTTTCTTATCAAATACATAAATGCACCAAGAGGACAGATCCTAATGCAGAAAGAGGTTGGTCAGTGGCTTGCATAGAAACAACCACCTGTCTACTAGGATTCTGCAGCACAGCAAATTACACTCATCTTCTTTACTCCCGCACAGAGTCTCCAGAAAAAAGAGGCCTTTGCATCTGTTCTCCAAAGAGAATTCTTCCATAGAATTCTCTAACAGTATGTGGGGTGACCAATGTAATAGTATTGTCATGTAGACTTAGCCAGACTAATAGCTACTATATCTGAAGCAACCAGATATTTCACGAATAGGGCCAAAAATTGAGTGGTTAGTATGCTAGTGGTACAAAACGGCATGTACAAAAACCAGAGTTGCATATTTCTGAGTTCCTCAACTCCATAGGTAACTATGGAAATAAAATGGATTGAAACGATCTTATATTGTTCTCTTTTTTGGAAACAATCTTGTAATTCTTAGTTGCCAGGCTAACATTTATTTTTGTGATAACAACGATGTTCTCCTCAGGGTTGTTTCCCATTAAGTAATTGACTTGATTCCATAATGTTGGGATTAGGAAGGCTGAATTAAAGTCAGAAGGATTAAAATAGTTTTTTGCACGTAGGCCTGTTATGGGTCCAAATCACTGCAACTCTTACATGGCTACAATTTGGTAAATTATTTATTTTCCATAAACACCACTTCACCTTTAACACAGCAACACAAATTTTACAATATGAAATACACATTCTGTTTAAACATGCTGAACTCTGCTACTGGGGCAATACTTATTTTTTGGTAGACTTATCCAATTTGATAAAGAAATTATATCAGATTTCTTCAGGTTGTTTGTGAATGCAGTAAATATCTACATGGTATGAAGGGGGAGTCGGAACAGTTCACTGGAGGTTTTAGAGTGCAGAGTGACACTGAAAATTAAGTATCAGAGGAGTAGCCGAAAATTAAAAAACCCTCCCTTCACTAATTTCTGGTACAGTACAAGATGAAAAGAATAGCTCCCCTTATAAAACATCAACTTGGTATAACTTTCTTGTTCAATGCCAATTCTTCACAAATTAAAATACAATAAGAGGAACGTAATTGAGCATTTATTGCTTATGGGCTCTAAAATGAGGCTAATCAGATAGTGACTAAACCTCAGCATGCGCTCTTTTAATAGACACATTTTATTTAACATACAATAACTGATGTATTCCATTTAAATTTTGCTAATGGAGAAGTTTAAAGTGTTCTCTACAAATTCTGGAACTGGAGCGAGTACACAAATCACCTTTAACACTCAGTTTCGGAAATGTCTCAGGTGCAGATTAAGTTGCCTTAAATAGAGAAGGAATCAGGTTTGAAAGTGAGGTATAAACTCACTGAAGAAAGAGTAAATTAATGTTGGGAAGCAGGGAATAAATATACTGTAACTATTATTTTACTATTAAACAAAGGTGCCCAAACAAAATAGAAGCCCCACAAGCACTAAATGACAGTTTACATTATTACTTTCTATGGATGTACTGAATGCACATGACAAAGACCCTTTCATTCTGTGCTGGGTGCATAATAATAATCCTGTACATTTCCCCGTAAAGGGAGAGAGGAAAGCACTGAGCTTCCTTCCAGTAGGATGTCAACTCCCTCCTAGCCCTGCATCCACGCATCTTAGATCTGTACTTGAATTAAAAGTTACAACTACAAAATAATGCAGCATGGTCAGAAGAGTGACGTGTGGTTTGATCAGATTAGAACAGATGAGGGTCTCGCTGTCATCTGGAATATGATGTGTTAAAGAGAAGACAGCAAGTCTGATTTTGATATGCAAATGTTACAGATTTAACTCCCCTAGATGTTAGTTGTAGAAAACGCTGATCTGAGAAAAAAGGGGAAAAAACTCTTTAACAAGGCATGAGGGTAATTCAAAGCCAAGTACTTTTAAACAGCACTTAACAAGTCCCTAGAGCCTACTCAACAGCGGGCCACCCCAGAAGTGCCATCTTCTGCCCCTCAACAGCTTGAAAAAGTAGTAATTGCAAATCCATTTGCATTTTTCTTCTCAAGTTGTCCATGTTCATCATTCAGCACTGTGAAAAAAACAAGCACCAGAGCAAAGGGAACCCTCCCCAAATGCGTCAATAACAAGATAACGGAGTGCCTGAATCCCCCCCACACTCCTGCTCTTATACCTTTGCCATCAGTTGTTTTTCACATTTCACTCCTAATTATGTTGCATCTATTGCCGTATACTTAATTAGCTGCATTAATGTGATTTCTTTTCACATAGTCAAGCAATTAAGAGCTATGATTGAGTTTCATTCAATTAGCCTCAACAAACATGCTAATTGATGTCCCAGATGCAAATGAGGTGCAATGAGAGAAACCTGCTAGCAATCGAGAGTTGTGTCAGAGAGACACAGCTCTCAGCTTGCTGACAGAAGCACAGCTTAACATGGCTACCACCTTCTGTGGAGCTGCCTTTCGAGGAAGGGAGATAAGTCATTAATGCCTCAGTGTACCAAACAGATCCCTACAGGAATACCGTGCAGCACTGAATCAAATCAATGTCGTCTCCAATTCTCACAGCAATGGCAGGTAGTTGCACTGTAAGTGGGGAAAATGTGAGGCACTTTACTAGGATTTGGTAGGCGTTACAGATATTGTAACTACCACATACACAACTTCTTTAGCTAAAAAATTGTTTAAAAAAGTGTTCATCTCATCTCCGAGCTTGTGAAATACTACATAAGTAATGGCCTACATTTATCAGTAACTGGCGACTTCATCTTAGTCAGCTGTGGGGCATGCTGGTACTTGAAGTTAAGCCTAGAACACATCAATCAATCAATATTCCCTAAAAATACACTCACTATATTGATTCTCATTGCTTTTCATCCTGAGGTAACACCTTTAGCAGTTTGCTCAAATATAGCGCTACTGAGTGTTAATTTGACTACTCAAGGCAAGTGACTAGTATCTATAAGACTAAATTAACTGCTAAAATACCCGTGATTGCCATAGAAAGGACAAATACTTCTGGAAGCTGCAAAATGTTATTTAATAACACCTCAAAATGAATTGCCCACAGTGAAAAGACATGATACACAATAATACAGCTTTCTTTTCAGAAACACTATAAATGGAAATATAATTAAGTTAAACAGTGAAATGGATGGAAGCTGCTTAGGCAAACACAAAGACTGACTAAAGAGATAGATATGACTTTGCTTTCTAAATAGGCCTTGTCTTGAGAATATTTAATACTGCTATTTAAGGATGTTCCTTACTGACTGGAATAAATAATTGCAATGAAAACATTACACAACTGTTGGTATACATTCATGTGGGCTTCAGTTTTTTAAATCACTCTCACACAAACAAAATTCAGTGAACACCGGTGTCCAACTATCATACATTCATTCCCAAAACAATTAGAATCCTCCTTTATAAAAAAAAATCTAATAAAAATTGCTATGAAGAATTCTTCAACAAAACCACTATTCATGTTATGGAAGCACACAATCTTGTCTAGAGGAAAAAAAAAATCAAACTTTAATTTTCAAAACTTAAGAAAGGAACCACAAAAATGTCCTTCCATATCACATAACATTGGGCACAGTAGTTTAATTTCTTCTCTACACTACTGTCTGCACATGAGAATAGGCCTTTATTTCAACACTGCTTCAAATAAGAAAAAATCAGAACACAGCTCCACCAGGTTTGGAGGCGTGTACAATGCTCTCTTACAACACAGACACAGAGTTTATTTTAAAGGCAGAACTATAGGACCATGCGCGTTCCTGCTGTATGTTCCCTCCAATCCTCATGTTGCCTGTCTGGACTCTACATGCCTTGGCACAGGAACTATATTGTTAATATGATTTAAATGCATGGCACAGTACATTGTGGATGAAATACAAATAAATAAATTACCAAAGTCTATCAGCTGCATTTCACTTTTTCTATTTCCAAAACCTAGTTTATTATGCAAGAACACTCTCCATTTGTTCATGGCTCCATCGCATTTAAAAAGTTACCCCTGCCATTGAGCAACCCCTGCAAGCACCCAATCACTTTTGTTTCTACAACCTGACTAATAAGCTAAGAACAGCTAGTGAAATGTACAAACTAATACAATATGCAAACTCAATTTTTAGAAACCAAATACCATAAACTTACTTCAGGTTTAAAATCCAGTATATCTGACGGCCTTAATCTCCAGTGCATTTCTCCTTGTGGTTAAACAACATTTGTGAAAAGTAGGTGTAAAATATTACCATTCCAATTACTTTGCACAGATATAAATAACCATACAAAGAGCAAGGAAGCATAACCCACACACCTCCTAGATGTGGTGTTCTGTCCCATCTAGTGGCACCGAGACCACTTCGAGAGAGATAAAATGAGTCTGCTCTACAGCCTTAGCTAACAGTCAGTTGGCTTTTAGCTCATACAGTAGAGGCTCATGCACTAAGCTCCAGAGGTCCCAGAATTGATCCCACCCACCACCGACCGGGGTCTGTCAGAGTTACAGAAGCAGAGATGGAGCTTGAGTATTGCAAAGCAAGTGAGACCTTTAATAGAGAATGAAATTATCAAGTAGATAGCTATAGACCCTGGGAGCCTAAGTGGGAGTATTCTGCACTGCTTTATGTGATATACAAAAATGAGCGACTCAGATTCTTGCTGCAAAAGCAGACCAGGACTGGGAGACACTGTACCTTGTACGGTTGATACTGGACAGTTCTGAAATTACAGTGAAAGGTCCTATGTTCCAGTGTGGTCCTCCATGCATAGAAACCATATCAGCTCTTTCCCTGGGAGGCCTCAGAGCAGGGGATTCTTAGGACTCCGTCTGGTTGCATTTGGATGGACTATAGTTGAAGCAGCCCTTCTCCA